ATACGATAGCCCGCGAAAAGTTTATTTTCGAAGGTTTCCAACACGATCGGAATTCGGATCAGATCGTGGGAAGAAGTTCGTTACAGTAACGAACTGGCAAACCTTTTACCGGACTCGTGCGCATCCGGTTCCTTAATTTTGTTCTCTCCGAGTAAAAGAGCGTCGTGTCTGCCGGACAAATCCACACGTTTGCAACGACAGCATAAACTTTCTCAAACGAACGACTATATAAGCGTGAAAAATAAACTTTATAAATTTCAAACTTTGCTATTAGCCGACAGATTGCTATTTCAGGCAATTTAGCATGAGAATCGTTGAATATTTATTTTGAAAAAATTATAAAAAATATATTTCACAAAAATCTTTACAACAATATGACTAAACTTTGATTTCAAGGTTTAAGAAACGTTTATCGTTCTAATATCATCGTGAACCAAGACGTCTCTCTGCTTAATGCGACATAACATAATAAAAAAGCATAAATTGATTCATAAAAGTACAATTCTCAATATCGATACATGTTTCATTATTATTGTTCGAGAGCAAGGATTTTTATTTTCCATTTCTCCCCTTCTCATTGCACTTCGTGCATAGGTTTATATTGCAAAAGGCAAAAGTCCATTTCTCAACCGCACTACACTTTTACGTTCTTCGTTCTCTTTTATTCAGGAATAAAAAGCTTTCTATTTTCTTTCTGCACAGAGTTAAGGGCCCAGTGACTCCTTTGTCAACTTTTTGTCGCAGACGGAAGTGCATCTAACCTTCATTAAGCGTTGCCTGGTAAACGCGCGCTATTCCTAACTTTTTTTTCTTTGCATATACTTTATTTAGAGTAATGGTATATATCACGAGCGTAATGTAGCGTACGTGAATTTTTGGCGCCGCAGATTTTATTTCAGTCTATTTTATTAATGAAAATTAATGTTTGGAAGATTATATGCAAAGTGTTCTTCGGTTTTCTCAGAAATTATTACTAAGCTGCAAAAATTTGCATTTTAATCTCCATCCACCATCGCCGAGAAGTTTTTCTCGTACTTCGCGAGACGTTTTGAAATGTAAGAACCTTGCGACAGATGGAATTCTTGAGTAGATGCACAGACATGTTTGAAAAACTTAACATAACATAATAAAAAGTAATAAAATTATAATTCAACTGAAAATATTCGGTAAACATTTCAGTAAACTCTGATAATTACGAAACTATATTTACGTTTAGTATTTAAAATAAAATTATAATCACACAAAATAATTATGTAATAAATTTAAAATAACAATAGTTTCGTCTAGAAAATTGCAAAGAAGACAGCCCAGAGCTCTGGTGTAAGACGTATGACGTTTCTTCAAGAACAGCCATTTCATAATATGCACGCGCAGTAAAATTCATCGTCTACGATTAAAATTCCCGAGTAACAGTGAAATTCTTCAATATTTTTCAGCCGCGGAACGGAACGGACATTTTCTCCCCGAGTCGCGAACAAATTGTGATTCCGTGCTCGTGAAATCCTCGAAGGCACGCTTCGCATTTCGCTTCACGGAACTTTATAAGTTCCATCTCATGGTTCTCGCTGGCATCTGCGTAGAAATTTACGCGCGGTTTCGCCATAACATGGCCATCGACTCGCCGTCCACCGGCGAATAAACCTGCTTTAATGGCATACTGAATCGGTTTAATGTCTCCGATAGATGCCGAAAAGGATTTTGCCTTCACCAAGGAAGCGCCGCCGAACGCTTTCGTCTAATGCTTTCCAAAATTTGCATCCTAATCTTCGTAAACCCCCGCAGGGATTACGGCCGTCTTCTTTCATCGTGCCGAGGATTTGCTTAACCTCGGCTTTCTTTGAGAGGCAATCCTCGTCCTACCGCGATCGATATAACATTTTACAGAGTCCCCAGTAAAGTGCATGCCTTGTAGTAAGCGAGCGTATAGATATATATTAGGTAAAGCAGCACGTAAAGAGATTCACTTTCTAAATTGTTGATCATATTAATATTTATCATAAAGAATCTGTTATCTAACCCAAGCGAGATTATTAATTCCGACACGGTTATATGATAAACTCGTATTACACGTAATATTTAATATTTCAATTTACATGTGGTTATGAAACAAACAAAGATCGATAAAGACCCTTAAGGAGATGCTGGTTACGTCTGCTTTATCGACAAATTATATTTATTTAATTCTTTATTAGCTTTACAGAATAAAAAATATTTCACTAGAATTAAAGTGTTCATAATAACCAATCTGGGCTACTATATAAATATATGTACATAAAAAGAAACCCAGAAAGTTAAATAATTACAGTTTTCTTATTGTTTAGGTTAGGTTGATCCAATACAAAAGACCGATAGAAAAACTGTAATTATTTAGCTTTTTTGGTTTTTTTATGTACATATGTAGTAGCCCAGATTTGTTATTATGAACACTTTAATTTTAGTAAAGGATTTTTCATTCTGTATAGCTAATAGTTAAATGAAAATAATATTTGTCAATAAAACAGACCTAATCAGCATTCCCTTAAGGGTAACGCGAGATCGTCTAATGAAAATTCAAATCTCGATATGAAAGGACCATCGTAAATCACGAAGTCGAGCGATAGACCCCAATCGATCTTTGGAGAAGTGGCTGAAACTCAATGTAAGTTCAAGTGCTCCTATTAATCCGAAAATTACCGTAAGTACTGGTGACATTATTAGTAGCCGGAGATGGGGCAAGTTTCGGAACGCACCGTGAAACTCGGAGGGAGGTGACCGCCGAATTGGCAGCTAATCAAACACCCGGTTGATGAAGGTAGGAGATTTATAGTAAGTAAATACAATTAGGAGAGTCACGAGTGCTCCGAGTAATCTTTGGTCCCAGCTGACGCTATATAACTCGACTACAGCTAACCTGACCTAACTAAATAATCGAATTAGAGGCGTCTTCTCTCCCCACGACGGCACCCTCTTCGCTACAATAAAGTTTTCTCGCGTCCGTTTCTGACTTACATTCGCCCCGATCTCCGGTCTGCGTTCGCGAAATTGTTCCTGGGACAGTAAATTGATTGTGGTTTGACGACGGACATGATTTCTCAAAGTGTTGTCACGGCAGTTCCTTGATGAGCATAATCTTCGGAGATAGGTGCGCCTGTTTGAATAGGAAATTAAGGGACATCTATTTATTACTTGAGAGATCTTTAAAAAAATACTAGCAAGATCCCTGAATATATACAGGTGAAAAATATAAAGCAGAATAATAATTATTTTTTTCTTGTATAGTTAAAGTTTGTTTTATATGTACACTGAAAGAAAAAATTATTGAATTCGAGTAAATATTTATTTCAATACTGCCTAATAACTCATTTATTTGAAACTAATAATATTGATTTTATATGAAAAATATTTATTTGTTACAAATAAATGATTTATTAGATTAAGAAATATTGAAATAAATATTTATTATATACGTTCTTTGCCTATGTCCTGATGCACAAGCGTTCTTTCTACAATTACTTCTTTTTTTTTAAATTTGCGATACGTAAGCAGCCGTTGTCATATGTATCTGTTACCTTCAATAACTGTATAATTATCTATAATCTGTCATTCTGTCTCTGTATCTGTAGATGCTGAAGATTCTTTGGACCGAAACGTACAATAAACTAGTTTCTTTTAAACTCGAAATCTTTACGCAATTTCTACCGCGTCTGGCTCATAATTAGCCCGTCCTTTGTTTAATTTTTTACTAGAGCTTGTATTTTATATAAAATATTTAATAATTTAATAATTTATTTTTTAATGTTTAATAATTAATTTTACATATAATTCGACAGTTTTATAATTAATACGATTAAAAATTCATCGAAAGTCTCGATCGTACCATAGACATGCGTAATGTTTCTCACAAAGCTCGAAGTTTTCTCGCGAGGACCATCCAAAGTTTGGATATTGATATCCAGATATTTCAACACACTGCTGGCAACTATTCTAAATAGTTTTCAAGCGCGACAAACGATACCTTCGGTTCTCGATCGACATTTGATCAATCTCGAGGAAACATCGCGTTGGTGCTTTCTTTGAGAGAGGACGATTTCTCTCGCTGAAAATATATAACTTTTCTGTCGTTTACAAGAAAAACTTTCTAGACTTATAGCCGTACGCGACAACGAAACTTTCGCGTGTCCGAGTTGCTAGAAAGTACTTCGCACTTTATGCAATGACATATTGACACGCATTTCAAATGTATTTTAGTTCAATGCGTAGACATCTCAGCAAGATTTCGCATTGCCTCAGAGATCAATTAATTTTCTCTGCCCAATAAAAAAATTAACGCATGACAATGTGCGAAAAATCAATATAATTTCTTTTTGTAATAAATAGTTTAGAATTCGATAATATACACATATAGCTGATATACAACAGTGATTGGATAACGATTTAATGTTATTAAATCTGTCATTTGCATATATTGCGGTAGATGTAAATAGATGCGCGATTATTGATTTATACAATAACTGACAAATGGTTATACAGCATCTTTACTCATCGTAAATTATGTATCTGCCGAATTTCTTGAAGCTCGTTTGAAAGGCCCTCTTTATTGACGGATCATATCGGTAAAAATGGCGCGATGTCCGGCCGGGCGCAAGTGCGGCCCGTCAATAAAGGCGCGCATCCAGTGATTTACGAGCCGCATGCGAAATGATGACAAAAACAGGCCGCAATAAATCGTGCGACTACATCGGTCCCGCGGTTATTTGCTGTATATCACTTGGAAAGAATCCGTAAATTTGCCTGCCGCGAGCCAAGATCTCGTCATAAATACCATAGCGTGACCATAGCACATGTACATATATAGGTTAGGTATATAGGAGACGATGGCGAAGCGGAAGGCGCGTATATGTAGCTCCGACGTAGGTGACCCGTAGTAATTTATCACGTTAATGTTTTCTTTTATTGCCGTGATACGCATAAAACCCGTAGCTGTAGCGTACACTTACATACGGAAACTGCGCGTGTTTCAGAATAAACGAGAACACCACGCGGTCCCAGTTCCTGGCCTACTTCAGCTTCTCGTCCAAAGCGAGCACGTCGGTCGGCTGGCCGGTGAGGGGCGGACATCCGGTTAACAACACGGGTAAGATGTGTTTTGCTCTCTTTTTTTCACAATAAAAAATTAAATTATACTGCGTTTTAACGCACAGCTTTTCCTAACGCACTGCGATATTTTTCTCACTTATATTCTCACAGATTTTATAAACTCGAAGAGATGCATCCGGGGAAAAAATACATTACCTATTTTTTTTCTTAAGTAATATACACTTAATAATTAATTTTTGATTGAATATATAACGACTATTTGTAATTAAAAAGCTGATAATGTTAAAATCCGAGAGAGATTTTGAAATTCGATGTTCCGCTGAAGAGCAAAAGTCAATATTTGCTCGACCTTTTTAACGTTCCGCATTTCTATTATAACTTGATATCCTATATTGACGAATGCATTAATCTGTTGGACAAGTGAGATTATGAGCTGCGTAAACTTGATCGCGCACTAACGCATCCTGTTTCGGATGGCTTCTATCATAGACTATTGCAGCTACATGCCAACAACCTAGTTTACTATCGTGTTCCCTATGATGGTAACTTTATCTTCTTGTAAATTGCACTTCTCCGCGATATATCTTATCATGTAGAATGTTCAGCACCGTGGGCGATCGGTGCAGATAAAATTTTTCTTATCATCCACGTGAAAAGCTTTACAAGCTTACAAAGGTAAACTTTTCCGATATACACAGACGCAGAATTGCTGAAACTTTTTGACTTGCGCTCCTTTTTCCACGAGAAAATGCGAGGAGTGACGAGGTTTTTCGTTTAGATTTTCAGCAAATAAAACGTTTTTTTTTTTCGCGAATATTTTTGCGAAGCAAAAAGCACGACTATTTCCATGAATGAATTAATAGAGCAATTTTACTCGGTTCTTTCGAAAAGCCGCGTTGGAACGAAAACAAACTATTTAACTAACTTGCTGAAGCGTAAACTTTGTAGTATATTCGCAAATTATCGATGTGCGTTTTGCATGTAGAATTGAGTTACTATACGTTAACTTGGTTGCTCTTCTCGATTAAAGCGTACGTTAACGAACGTTTGCCGGACCTTTCTAGCGCGTATCGCCTATAAAATTCATAGCAAAAAATCAAAGAGTCACGATGAAAAAAACGGAGAAACGACATTTATAAACGTCTACTATAGAGCGCATTCTTCTTCCGGGATTGTAAAAACAGAGAGAAATCCAGGTAAAATGTCAAAACGGCGTGTTTTTGCGATAATAATTTTGAAATCGGGCGGATGTAAACTAGTAAACTACAGGAAAAAGGAAAGCGGTCAAGGAACGCGCAAATTTACTTGGGAAAGCGCGGAAGGGTAATTTCTCTTTAGTTCGAAGCGAAAATTATACGGGCTTAAGTGCGGTCGGTGCTTTAAGCGAAGGAGGAACCCGTTCGGCTCCAAAACTATTTAACCATCGTGATCGAAGGCTAACTAAATCACGAGTATCGATTCCTTCCCGGGACGACTACGCGATCCCTATCTTTAAACGCGCTTCTAATCTCCACTGTGACCGATGCTTCTGTGTGCAAAGATCCAGTCTAGGGAATTGTAAAATTCAATTAGAGTTATCTTAAAATGATCAAGATAAAATATTGCGATGTTACTCTCGAACGTTTTTCAGAAAATAGCAGACAAAGTAAGCAGTCGCTGTGAAATTAAAATTAAATTTATTTGTTGTTTGTTTCATAAATAAGTTTCGATTTCGTGTAAATTTCATTTTTCGAGATCTATATGATTTACGATCGATTATTGGATACTATTTGATCGCACGGTGATCTCGTATCTTGCTTTCATGGCTTGCTGTGCTGTGCAAGTTGGAGAGAAGTGAGAAAATTGAAAAGCCCTTTTAAAAAATTGCGCGACGCTCTTATGAGAAAAGTTTCGTATATATGTATCTTGAACTTTCGTATCTAGTAATATTGTATAATGACATAGCAGAGTTCTTTGACCTGCCGTGTCACCCCGGGGAAACATATGCCGCATTCGAACAACCAACGCTGAAATTGCAAAAAATAAAAATATGCAAGAATGCGCATTCATTATTTTATTTCTTATTACGCTGCAGAAAAGTATTTCACCCTGCATCTCAGTTTTATTTTACATAACATTCATATATTACACATGTGCATAAATTATAGCACTTAATCAGATGGTATTTATTTTTCTGACAAGTCATAAATTTATAATAAAGAAGAAGAAAACAAAACTACTTGTAGAATATATATTTTTTCTAATATTTAGGTAAATATAAATCTCTTTCTCAAGTTCTCTATAAATTCGATTATTGCAATTTTACGGAGATATATTACAATGAATATCCGCATTTTAAAATGTCTTTAAGGGGTTACATACACCTAGAGGACCGAAAAATTAGGTTTTTCCGCAAAAAAAGGTTTTTTCCAACGCCAGCAACCATATTTTGTTTCTGTTGCAATTTTTTAATTATATTTATTTTTTTATATTGTCAAAATATAAACTTATAATCATAAAAAGTCTTATTTGATTCCCACTATTCATTTAGCCGGAATAAAATGTCAAAGTTGGGTTAATTTTTCGGTCCTCGAGGTGTATGTAACCCTTTAAATACACCGTCGAAGGATCGTAAAACGATCACGCGTCTGACAAATCTGAGAGAACACGTAACACACAGCAGCAATCGGCAATTTCTTTCTCGGAGCAGAAGCGGCTGAAAGGATCCCGTGTTAAAAAAGCGCGACGAGAAGACGCGAGAGATGCGAAGACGGATCCTCGCGCAGCTCGGTAAAAGCAAAAGGCCCCCTTTGAAAGCTTTCCTCTGCGCGGTGAGATTGTAACGAGACGACAACGATTCTCGATTATCCTCGAGAAGAAGGCCTCGGCGATCCATATGCGCAGTACGTACGACCGGGAAACGTGACTGCCACTCCGCCATCCGGATGAGAGAGGTCTTTTTTGACGTTGGCACACGGTGCCTGACGCTCGTCCGTATTGGGGAACGTGCGAGAGGCACGAACGGAGGGCAAGGACACAATCAGTTCTTTATCTCGAGAGAGAGAGAGAGAGAGAGAGAGAGAGAGAGAAGAGTGAAAGGCAGCCCGTTTATATAGAGGGAAAAAGAGAGAATAGCGGGCGAAGGCACCTCCCGATTGACAAACAGATCAATCGTGGATGGAAAGACGATCCGCAGTCTTACCGTTCGACCTGGCTCCAGAATTCTCTCTCTTACTTCCACTTTTCCCACACGTGCATTTACGCAACCCCGCGCTAGCCGGAAGTTGGCTCCGCCGCTCTCGAATTTATCTCTCGAGCTCCGAAGAAACTGGCCGACGTTCCGAAGTGATTTATATAAGAAGAGGGAGAGAAAGAGAGAGGATATTGTAGAGCGAGGAAAGGATTCTGCTATTTGAAAAGAATATTATTTTTGAAATAATGTGCTGACGTGTCCTTTACGCGTAATGTTGTAAGAAAACGAGCTGCATCTATGTATAAAATGTTAATTTTGTCTTTAAGGCTCCTGCATACTCGATTGCCAAGTCCGTGTTAAAGTGACGACTTGATTCCAGACGGTGAAAATAAGAATCTCTATATTGTTTTATCGATAAAAGAATATAGTACAATAATGATCGAAAAATATAATTAATAAATAATACGATTTTGTTTAATAAAGATAAGCATAAATGACATTTTAGCGAGCTAAATTATTTTTGCAACTTACAGCGTTATTTTTCGTTTTACTGTAGAGTTTTTATGTTTAAAATAATTGTCATGATGTTAAAATATACCGAAGACTCTCATTTTGACATAATTTAATATGTGAACGCAAATATTCATTTTATTTTGATATCTGTCAAAAACAGCTGATTTTCGTCCTTTGTTAGGCTCAATTCAATTTGACATATACATATGTTAATTATTGATTATCTAAACAAAAAGAGTTTTCGGGATATTTTATATGTCTGTTCTATCGATTTCAAACGCTATTTTATTGAAAAACACTGTTATTTTAACGTAAGTCGCAAGAAGTTTCTTGATGTACTTTCTCGCCTCTGACGTCATCAATCCAGGATATCTGCAGTGAGTATACAGGAGCCTTAAATTAAATTGTATACATGTATTTTTGTAATAAATTATTTAAAAACGCAAATGAAACTATTTTTGTCTGCCGTTATTAGAGTATAAAGAGTATTTAAGGTACGCAAGAAGAGCCAGATCAATATAAAGATAGTGCAGTTCGGATAAGAAATAGTACGGATTGAAAGATAAAGTAGACGTTGCTCGATTGACAAAGCGGTCGGTTGAGACCCAGTAAGAACAATTTACAAGCTTGTGCTACCACTTGGTCACTCTGTTTCTCTTCTTTCTATTTGTACGATCGCGCGATCACGTAAACTGCACTTACAAGAGAAGTGCTCTTAGCTCCGGCGCATTTAAGATGGATTATTCCACTGAAATTCCAGCGCAGATCTCGGCGCGATTACGGTGCGATTTTATTGACATTCCGATAAATCTTGATTATATTTATGTACAATATATCAAGAGCATTATAATTATACAAATATCATTATCGACAGTGTTAATAAATTGTAACGAAAATTAATAGAGAGAGAGAAAGAGTAGCTGAGAGGAATATATATATATATATATATATATATATGTATATGTATAAAGTTTTAAACAAATAGTGATTTGTTTTTGTTTAAAATACATTTTAATAAGTACAAATATGTTTTTCATGAACCTATAATTGGACGTTAGCGATACATGTTCCTGTACATGTTATTTCAGTAATATATAACATACAGGTACACAAGCACCGTCTAATTTTCCAATTCGCAAATATCCATCCGGGGAAGTAAAACGTGTCGACAAACATTCCCGCTGAAATACGAGTGGAGTATCACCGCGGGATATTCACGCGCCATTTCACTGCGTTTTCCCACGATTTCCTATATTACTGTCGGTTTAAAAGCCAAAACATATCGTCAAACGGGCAACGATCGCCCGTGAATTTTCGTAAAAATTGCGTCCGAAATTATAGTAGTTAATTAAGTTAATATTTGTCAGAAATGTGAAAACGTTAATTTCTGTCCAATTAAATTTTAAACGGAAACTTGAGATAAAATTTATGTGTCGTGAAAAAAAGTTTTTAATTTGAATTTCACGTAAAAAAAAGAAAGAGCTCGCGTAATTATTCAGGAACCGACATTCGTCGAAAAGTTAATTGCGTTTATTGCAAGTTCGTCCTGTTGCTTATTTCTCTCTTTCTCCGTCTTCTATGTAAAAATGTACAAACGCCAAATCGCAATTTTCGCGGCTCTCCCGCCTCATCGAGTTTCTCCGTCGAGAGTGAATGGAACGAAAAATAAAACAAGAGGGGAGCTCGCCCCTCTTCCCCGTGGAAAAATTTTGTCGAATCGCGAGAACTCCGTGGAAGGAATAAAAGCATCTCTTTTTTCTTTTTTTTCTTGTTTTTTTTCGCCTCGAGTTTATTACGACGCGCCGCGAAAGAAAGTTTTCACGCGTCTTGTGTGAACATTTACATAGAGCCTTTACTTTCTCTCGTCCCTTCCGTCGCCGCATTAAAGCGACGATTCACCCTTGCGATCTTAATCGCGGGAGGTGAATTTCTCGGCCATCGCGATAATTACGCCCGTTTTGTAAAAAAAAAAAAAAAAAAAAAAATGGACCGACGACGTTTAAAGTGACACGCTTAATCGCATAAAGAGAATGTTTCTCATTTCCTAGAAGCGTTCCAGACAGTCTTGTTACAAAGTAACAGAAAAAAGTATATCGTTTCTGAGAAATGAATTTTTCATTAATATCATCGTTTTGTCAAATCTTGTAAAATATTTTGTTAATATTGTTAGATATATTCGCTATTATAGCAAAGAAGAGTCGATGAGAAATGTTTATATTGTCCTAATTATATTTATATTCTGCATCAATGTTGTAAAACTTTTCTTTTGATGTCATTAACGCAGCTATCGACGTACTCGTTTGAGCCTCGTCCGTACTAACGAGGCAACTTTTCGAGCAAACTAATGCGTGTATAATAAAACTCGATACTCTTTCAATTACACGTACAATTAACGAACTCGGGAGTTTTTTTCAAGCCAAACAATTGACGTCTCCGATAACTGGACAGTCCAATTATCATCCAACTTGATCGAGCCGCATCTAAGAAATTAGTACTAGCTTCGTTGCACTGTTTATCAAATAATTAACGACACGGCATCGTTGTACCTTTTTTTTTGCTTAAGCGATTATACCTATCTATGAGGTACAAAAAATGTATTATTAGGATTTTTTTTTAAATTGAAAAATTTTTAAAATAAATGATTAATTATTCGAATGCATACATTTTGAAGATTTTATAGTATTTTTATTACAAAATATTAAAAACAAAAAAAATATCGCAGCAAGAGCATTTTTTTGTTTAGTTTTTTGCAGTGATCACTGTAGCTTTAAGCTCGTTTATCTAAAATGAATAATTCGAGCGAATTTAGTTAGTATATTAGTTTATCTAGTGCTCAATTGTTTATTATCTCGAAAAATTAATTTGGAATAAAATGGCGGTTGTTTAAAGTTAAAGTATCGATTTTCAATCAAAAAAATCGTTTATTTTTATCTGTAAAAACTACGTAACGAAAAATAAAAAGCAACGATCGGGCACTAGATAAACTAATATACTAACTAAATTCGCTCGAATTATTTATTTCAGATGAACGAGCTCAAAGCTACAGTGATCACCGCAAAAAACTTACAAAATAATGCTCTCGCTGATATCTTTTTGATTTTTAATATTTTGTAATAAAAGAATACTATAGAATCTTCAAAATGTATACATTCGAATAATTAATCATTTATTTAAAAAATCTTTCAGTTGAAAAAAATTCCTAAAAATACATGTTTTTTTCGACCTTACAGGTAAGTATAACCCCTTAACGGCTGGTCTAATCAACCTACAAGAATTTCAATTAATATTATTATAGAAAAAGATCCCCGTGAAATGGAAAACAACGCTTCGAGCACACAGAGAAATGAAGAAGAACGAAGGAAATTACGCGCTTCGCAAGGTAGTGGAACGCGAAAAAGCGGAATTGTTTATGATAAAAATGTTGTGCCGCTGCGGAAGCAAGGGAGGGGGATGGGAGATGCAAAGCGCATTTTATTAATTGAAAACTGTGTGCCCGAAGGTGGACGCGTTTCATACTTAATGGGCCCAGCCATTATGATGATTGCATACGGAACTATAAAGCTAAGCAAACAACGCCAAGAGGGCCGGTCACACAATCAAATACGTTTTTTCTTACAAAAAATGATAGCGGATCTTGCCATAAAGCGCGCGCAAAAAACACCGTTTGTTGAAACACAGCGCAAACAGAATCCGCGCGATGACATGTCAAAAACCTTTGTGGCGCGATAAAAATGTCTATTGAACAAACCTCATGTGTCGCTATGTGACGTTAAAGTGATATTAATGCCTTTTTCGTATTTGCGTGGAGTTGGCAGTAATAAATACCAGTTCATTATACATTTATGGAAATCGTGTGTTTGCATACGTTATGAAAGTGGAATAATTGAATTGCGTAACGGATTGTCAATCACCATTTGGACATTACAATAATCGTCGCGGACGCATTGATTTGCCTATTCGAAAACAGCTTTGAACTTCAATATTTTCGCACAATGCAAATAATGGTTTAATAACGGATATGCCGATTTGCGATAAATCATATAAGTGATTAAAAAAATTGACGCTATTAATAGTTAACTAGTTCACTGGTAATAACTCATATATGGCCAAAAAAAAGGTGCCACACCTGGTAATGACTCATATATGAGCACTTTGCCAATTTTTAACGAATTTGAATAAAGCTTGGTATATCCATGTTTTTGGGGTCGCTGATTATGAATCTGGAATCAAGTTTGAGAAATTCCTCATGGATTCAATATGGCAGCTAGTAACTAACAGTATTTGATTCGTAATAAACGATTTAAATATTAGTCTTAATACATATAGATATTATATAGTCTTGAGTGTATAATCAAAATGAAATAACAACATAATGTTTTAAATTAATTTGTTATCTGCGATCAAAACATCACAGCACAAAACTCGCGTTACAAATCTATCGATATTTTATTTGTGTAAAGTTGCGCATATTGAATCAATCAACCTGAACTGACTAAATATAGTTATATTTTTACGTCTGATAGTATATGTAACCAATATAGAAGTGATTTGTAAGACCGTGATCATAAACGATTCAAAAGAAAATGAACTTATCGAATTTGATCCTCTTTATTTTAAATTTTGAAATTTCGATCTTAAATTCATCAACAGCGATACCAAAAACCCTTTATAGTTAAACTTTCATATAAAATACGTAATTATTTGCTCTCACCAGTTTGGTACAAAATGATGATTTTGGATTCACCAGTGAACTGGTTAACAAAGATACGTTTTATTTATTGCCATAATGTGTTTATCTATGAGAAAAATGTTCAACATATAAAAAATTGACGTTGTAAACAATCAACTAATTCCTTTTACAAATATTTTAACACACATTATCTTTATATATTTACATAAATTAGTAATATAATTAATATATTTATATATTATATATTATATCAATATGTACATATATATATATATATATATATATATATCGCATAAAGAGAGAAATTATCGTCGAAGCGGAAATGCAAACTGCTCGCATACTGGGGATTCGTGGCCCGTGACTAAATTGGTAATCCAGGTCGTATACCGAATAATCTATAACACATTTCGACATAGTTGGCAGTATTTCCGGGTCGACTCTCGAAAATATTAATTTAGAATCATACGAGCTGGAATGCTAGACATCTCGTCAGCCGTTTTCTATTTAGTCAGCGTGTTGCCGTTGACGCGTCTATCCACTTTCCACTTTTGAATTTTTCATGAAGCAGCCAGACGTATTAATTATTTTCGGTCTTTTGCAAATCGTTCGAGCTCGTCTGTCGAGCAGCCGGAAATTGAGATGGACCGTCGCTTTAACTGGCAGCCGTTCGACGTACTATCAACCGTCAATTACCCGTCTTAATGAACTTATAGCAAAGTTTCACTGAGCATATATTAATATTTGAATTAATATTAAAGTACTTTTATAACTAATATTAAAAATTATTAAAGTATGCATTTATTTGTTAACATTTCTCCGTCAACGAATTAATATTGCAGTTGAAGTAAAAAATATAATAAAATTCTTTTCATATTTTTTATGTTGTTAAAGAGATAAAATTTAACGTCGCAATTAATTTGAAGAATATAAGGGAGAAAGATAGAGTCATTTATTTGCGCTTCCAAAATGAAAGGACACAAGAATTCTATGAACAGGAATTCTGACTCACTGACATCTTCTCCGTTTTCTTGTTTGCAGAATGCGACTCGGTGTACGAAGACACGGATTGCCATGACGGATGCGTTCTAGCCAGTCCCGGATATCCGGGACTGTATCCGCCAAACATCCGTTGTCGGTACCTGATCACTTCTGGCCCGCGAATCTCCATTGCCATCAACTTTACAGCGGTGCTGCTTCCTTACAAGTAAGTGCACGATTGTCGAACAATGTTAGATTTCGATAGAACATGTCCCTGTGGCAGCACGTTGACAAGTTCTCGTTCTCCACGAGTCCATTCATTTGACAGTTCATATAAAACATATGTGCCTTAGTTTTATTTGGGTTTTATATGCGACGTTTCTTAATTATTATGTCATTATACACGATGTAAAAAAAAAACTTGTGCATATAAACGCGTAATTGCGCACGTAATAAAATGACGTTGTTACAAGGGAAGACGGTAGACCGAGAAAACTCGTTAAACGAGCATTTGAGAGAAACGACGATTTTCTTTCATATGCAGTACACGCGCGGTCTAGCGCCCATTTCGAGGTTTCTTTCGCGTATCTACAGCGCGTGTCCATTTCTTTCGCAACCACGTGCCAGAAAAAACTGTTCGAGTTCCCGAGCGAGGCTGTTGCACGACAAATTAAAACTGGAAGAGTCAAGAAAAAAAGAAAGAAAGGAGAATCGCTCTTTTGACGAATTTATTTTTATTGATATCAAGGCGCCTCACAATCGTAATAACAATTTAACTTGAGAACAAAGTGAACACCGGATATCATTCTCGAAGGTAATCGAATAAAATGTATAAGATTTTTAAAAAAGGAAAATTTACAGATTTTTAACCAAACTGATTAAATGTCATTCATTATAGCTAGAATGTAATGAAAGTATCTCTTCTCTCGTTGAGATCGAAAAAGTTAAAATATTTTAAATTATTAATAATCAATTCTTTTTGCAGAAATATTAACATTAAAACTCTTTCTTAAAGCTGCATAATTAAAAAATTAAATTTTAAAATAACGAAATAAAATGACTATTTTTAAATAATATCCATTGGCACACGATAATAATCAATTTATTGTATAATAAAAGAGAGATAAAACGAATAATTATATTTTTTGTACTTTGTGACAAATGTCAGGTAGTCTTTGCGTTGATTTTAAAGTCACGTCGAGTGTTTCTCTTTTCCCTTTACCTTCATCCGGTCCGGATTACATTAGCGCGTTTCCGGGCAAAAGTGAAAGAGCAGCCGGAGAAAGGAAAGAAGAAAAAGGGAGAAATCTCTTGCCCTTTTACGATCTTTAGTCCGGATATTTTTAATAAAACCCGCTTAAACGCAGCTCAGCTTGCGTAACAAGCGAAACTCTCTTTATGCTGTGTTAATCTCACATGCATATATAAATCATTTTTCGCTTTACCAAAGAATTTGCGACGGTTTTCGAGCATGAACTTTTATTTTTCATCACGCAAAAATCAATTGTATAATAATATTCAGAAATTGTTTTAAAAAGTTCAATAATTCGAACAATTTAATAAGATGAATTGAAAATAGTAACATCAAATTATACTCGAGTATGCAATATGTTAACAAATAAATGCAAAATATACAAAAAGCTCCAGAAAATTTAAGTATGACAATTATAAAGGTGAAGAAATTTTTTCCACGTTTAACAATCGCTGCAATTGATCGCAATTTCCTAGAATTCATCTAAACGCTCTCAAGAATCCGCGACGAGGACTATTATATACATCTTAATGGCGCGGGACGGGAAACCAGTTTCCCGACACACACGGTGCTCAATTCTATAGCGCATATACTCACGCGAACGTATATGCGCTCCACGCGAAATCTGGTCTACAGAAACGTCGCGAGTCAATACGCATCCGCTTTGCACTTCGCCTGCAAGGGTAAGAGCCCATTTTGTGCGTGCTCAGAGAGAGAGAGAGAGAGAGAGAGAGAGAGAAAACCGCGCGGTAGGGGTATTTCGCGAGCGCGTATTTCGGCGTTTGATAATGCATCCCTCGTCTCGTTTCGTTGGCTGTGTCAACAACCATCTTCCCAGCGCTCATCCCTCGCTCAAATTCATCCCCCGAGCAATAAGAATACACTCGCGCGCGCACAGAACCATTGTGTGTCTCAAATTACTTATTCTATGGCGCGACCTACTACAGGCACGAACCCGCGTTAAACGCGTTACGTTGTCACTGGATGTACGTGTTATATCAATATAGTGCATAAAAGTTAAAAATTTGCACTCTTTTTTTAATAATTTTTTATATTCAGAGGATTTTCAGAGGCTATTCGGAGGATATTCGGAGGATATTCGAAGAATATTCGGAGGATATTTAGAAGATATTCAAAGGACATTCAGAGAATATTCAGAGAACATTCGAACATCCTCAGAATATTCTCTAAACATCTTTGGGATATGTGTGTTGTTAGGAATATAATTTATATATATTCCATGAATAAGCGCGAAAGAAATTACATTTATAGTTTGTTGATAAAAAATTCTACCCAGAAATTTATTATCGAAATTAAATCAGCTGAACTAAATCTACTTTACTTGCAAGTGCAGTTTTTTTTCCTTACGATCTCAATGAGCCACCAAGACGTACGATTTTTGTGGAACAAAGTAATCGAACTTGGCTAGGGAAGTCTTCTCCGCAAGACGAGGAAAAGCGACAAAGAAAGAACCATGACATGGTCGCGGTAGGGAGGCCTCCCGCACTGCAGCTGTACTTGCTTTTTCGCAGCAGTCGTTGCAGTTGTTCTTCAAAGCTGGATTGGCTGGCTGGCTAAGGTTTTTACGTCACTGGAAAGAGCCATTTCTTCACGCAGAGTCTCGCAGTCGCGAGAGTACGCCGAGCATTTCTGTTCTTTCTAAAGAGACAGCGAACATATTTTAACCGATGTGAACCTGGCGACTGACTTAAAAAATATTTTTTTTTAAATATAATCCGTTTGTACCTTGTTTGTACCTGTTTGTACCGTTTGATGTTTCGTTTGTACCTCAAAGGGTTATAAAAATACGAAGGGTTAAAAAAATGGTCACAGCTTAACTTTAAAATATTTTATTTTCATTAAAGGCATATTCTAAGGAGAATTGTATGTACTAGTTTGTATCTCCTTTCAAATCGTTTGTACTTCAAAAAAAGTACAGGCATTTAAAAATTCGTGTAAGAGGTAACTTTGTCATTTGTAAAGATACTGGATAACACAAGCACACGCTTCGCGCGCGCTAAATCAATTTTTTCTCCGCGAGAGTACATAATTTTAATTTGCTGAATTTCAATTATGTACATAACTTTAATTTTTGAATTTATATTTATAGATAATTTTATTTAATTCATCGAATTAAAATTATGTACATAATAGAAGTTCGGGAATTCAAATTAATATGTACATAATAGAACACATTATATTTACATTACGAGGCGCTCAAACACTACGCACCTATCCTAAACACGAATATATCGCAACGCGCCAGCATCCAATCAGCATCGCAAGAAAAGAGGCTTCAACGCTTCGATATATTTGAGTAATCGACTTAACATGCACGTTTTAAGGAAAGGATTCAAAATCTGCAAACAGGTACTGTTTTCTAATCGTTTGTACTCGTTTGTACCTCCTTTCAAATCGTTTGTATCTCAAACAACCATAAGTACAAGAATTTCAAAATTCGTATAAGGAATAACTTTTCACGATATTCGCAATTTTTAAACGGGTACTGTTTTCTAATGTTCGTTTGTACCTGTTTGTACCTCTTTAATTTTCGTTTGTAAAAGGGCCGAAAGTACAGACATTGTTTAAATTTTGAAATGATCCGGTTCCTGCGAGGTACAAACGATTTGAAGAAAGGTGTACAAACGGGTATAAACGATTAGGAAACAGTTCCCATTTGCAGATTTCGGAATATCTTTAAAAATGACAAAGTTACCCCTTGGTCAAATTTTGAAATAAATGTACTTCCAGTCCAGTCGAGGTACAAAACTATTTATAATAATTTACTAAATAGTACGGCTTTGAGTACACAAATGTTATTTGATGTACTTATTTTTAAATTGTATTATTTTGTACACTTTAAGATATATACTTATAATTTAATACATATTTAACCATAGAATGTATAATATTATAAAAAAATAAAAAAAATTGGTGAGTCGAAAAATTATAAAATATACTGGTAAATCCATACGTATTTATTGAAATTTCGACCTAACTGGCCAGTACAATTTAATTTAAAACACTACGTTTCGACCCTTAGGTACGGGTCCTTTTCAAGTGTAACTGCACAATAAAAATATATACAATGATTATGATATGAAACAATAATTTACAAAGTTGTTAACGAAGAAATTTAAAATAATATAAAAATATGAATAATAAAAATAATGTAATGTACCTGTCAAGATGTTGATTCGACAGCAGTAAAATTACTAATGTTAAAACGGAGACAAATAAATCAATTTTAGTCAAACTTTAAAAACACAATAATATTAAAGTTCGACAATACACCGAAATAAATAAATAATAAATAAATAGACGATCATATACTGTGTATCAACTTGTCATAAATAGGATTTAGATTTTCTGTGTCCCTTTGTAAATTGATGTTATTCTTATATTTTTTAATGAAAGACATCTCCGCTAATTCTCTCTTCCTTCTGTGTTTTTTGCAATGCAAAATCCTAGGTTCCATCCATTTAAAGTCATGGTCATATTTTATTCGATGTTTACTAATTACGTTAAAATTGCTATGATGTTGTTTAATATTTTTAAAATGTTCGTTTACACACGCGTGTAGCTAATTGTCTTTATGTTTGCCCTGTATATGTTGCATTGCAATCGTTACATTCTATCTGATACACGACGTCAGTTTTTTTCATATAGTTGATTTTATCTTTACCTTTTCTAATTAATCTATTTAATTTTTTTCGGGATCGTATAAACAAAGTCTAGTTCATATTTTTTAAACGCATTGCTCAGATTTTCGCTCAAAATTTTTACGGTATCGGTAACAATGATTTCGTATTTAACTTTTTACATCTATTGTCATTGACCATCAAAAATTCACTACGGTGTTTTAGAGTTTTAATTCTCTTCTCAATATGTAGTTCAATGAAAGGTTTCGGGAAGCAATTGTTGACCAAAATATCCGTAATAATTTTGATATTGTCAGTGTGAAAGCATTCATTTGAAA